TCCGGTACAAACGCCGACTCCTGGAAAGGATGTTCACCAGAACAATATGTGTGGCTGTACAAAGTACAGCGCACTCGACTTGGTCGATTGGTATTACCATTTGCTCATGAGAGCGAGTAATAGTCCGCTGACAGCGGTGAGTATTCCGAGCGGGATGCTCTAGGGATGACTGGTCATGCCCAAGGGCTGTCTAATGCACCAGCAACATTTAACTTCTTGTAACGCAATTGTTTAGGCCCAATCGGGCGTATGCACTTACATGCTTCGACGACATCTTCGTCCACAGTCATGCGGGGTACGGGAGAACAGATGAGGAAAACCACATCGTCCATTTCAGAACGGTGCTTGAGTGTATGCGCACAAATAAGCTATATGTCAATGCAGATAAGTATCTTCGGCGCTTCAGAAATCCCTCCTTTTAAGGTTGCTTCATTCGGAAGCATGGCCTTCGAGCGGATCCCACTAAGGTCAAGTCCAGTGTGGACTGGCCGGTTCCAAAGAGCCAAAAGGACTTGCGCAAGTGGCTTGGCCTCCCCTACTACTTGCACAAGTAGAGCGCAAACTATGCGAAAAAAGCACGACCATTGTCTAATCTCGTTAAGAAGGTTAAGGAATATCGAGCATCCGGAGGCTTTTGACAGGGTCAAAGATAGCTTCCTGCATGCACCAATACTGGTGTTGCCGGACCCCTATCGTCCTTTTAGTGTCGTCTGTGACCCTTCGGACTTTGCCATCGACTGTGCGTTGCTGCAAGCAGAGATCCACCAAGTGGTCATTGCCCGCCGGTGACTCTTCTCGATGAGAATGGTGGCGTCCACTACCACGTGAAACGCCTTGTGGGTCGACATATGGATGCTCCATATGTCGCAGGGCGACAATACGCAGGAAGTCGGCGTTGCGCCTTGAGTGTGGCTAACTTAAATCTAAGATGGCGCTCAACCTGCACGTTCAGTTCCTTGTAGCTTCGCTGTGAGGTAGACAGCGAAGACAGTTTTCGGCGCCGCTGCACCCATCGCTCAAAGCGCTAATCATCATCCGCAACGACTTTGCCAGAGGTGAGCACCACAGGAAAGGTCCGCATTGCGGGAGCAGGAGCACCGCCTTTTGAGCTCGAAGTCGAGCGCATTTCCGATCCGTTGGGATTTCATGGGGTACCAAAAAGCGAGCTCGCGAAGCTTTCCGCTGGTCAAGCTCAGCTTGTGTAGTGGTCGGGGGTGCGAATAGGTAGACGCCTACGATTGAGTGATCGCGTCTTTCGCTTCAGTAGCGGATTCCGCCGAGCGGAAGCCGTATACCACACGAGAAAACGTGGGAATGAGCGCAGGAAAGCCGCCATGTGAGCAGCCTCAAATTGGTACTCCTGTGCCTCGTCGAGGCGATTGGTAATATAACCACTTCTTTTGGAAGCCGAGAGGTCGGGGAATGGGCATGGTGTCCACAAGGTTTGAGCTGGGCTCACATCGCGCCGTTGGCGCACTTCATGTTTCTAGGCTGGATATCTTGCGTGCCGTATTATTATCATTAATCATTGAGCGGATAGTGTTAAAGGTCGTTTTAAGAACGTAACGGTGTCTCAGACACGCAGGCCTCGTACGAGACGACATCTAAATGCGAATTGTGGAAATTCACAATTTTAATGGGGGAGAGTGCAACGGGGTTACACGTACTTTTGTATAGAAGGGCGGGTCGCACAATTTTGTGCGACCGTTGATAGGAGTGTATTACACAAACTAGTGTAATTACACAGTGGTGTGGCTACACCGTAACAAGAACCCATCACGTGGCAGGATTGTCAGTAGTAATACATATTACTACATTAATTAGGCATTACTATACTAAATAGGAAAACCTAGGGATTTAGATATTGGCAGCTCTGCCGCAGCTAAAACAATCAAATACAGAATTGATCATGAACAGACGCGTTTGTTTGTGTTGGTTAAGGTGCGATTCGCTACACTTGTACTTGTTCTTGGAAAGAACGTAAGGTCGGTGGCCTTAGCTTAGCTTCCTTTAAGCAAAGAGC